TCTAAAGATAAGTGGGCCCATTGTAGTTGACCTAAAATCTATTAGGCTGATTTTATAACCGGCGGTGAGCGACTGACCCAATTCTGAGTTTACAACTACTAATGTTCAACTCCCTAGCCATGTAATTTTGAACTCAACGCAGAAGACAAGGGAACTCCGGGATCTAGCATTGGGAGATACTAGCCATCGTGGAAGACTTTTGATGGAAACTCGCATTTGCGTTGCATAGAGAGGAAAACAACGAGAGAAAAAAACCACGGTTAGTCCGTCAGCAAGAGGACTCTTACCCATGATACGTCTACCACTGGGGATATTTTTCGTCAGCACTGTGGTCGGTGCGAGCCGAGTGCAGAATTCTTATCGACAAGCCACCGCTGCGATTCGAACCTGGGTCACCTTATGGGAAGGCGAAAACTCCATCACTTGAGCCACCATGACTCTTATAAGGCTGATTAGAAAATTCTGGAGATTTTCCAATTAGCATAGTGTATATATTGTAATATCCTCAGTGGTAGACGGATCATGAAGTCTCCTTGCCGTCAGACTCGCCGTGGGAGATTTTTCTCTCCGTGGAAAACAAATGTGAGTTAGTTCCATCCAAAAGTCCTCCACGAAGTCAAATTTCTCTCACTCCAAGAGTTCTCTCCTGGATTGAGCTCAAAATGACAATGAGTTGCCCCCCCCCCCTCCGCCTCCCCAAAAAAATTGGGGGGGTCTGCTGCTCAGCGAAGGTCATGAAATATTATAAAATAAAATAAAATAAAACAGAAAAGCTATATACTTTTGATAAGACACAACTTTAGAGTATATTTTCGAGATCTGCAGATTCACTCAGGTGATCCGTTCAAGTATGGAATCAAGTGTTTTCCTCATTTTTTATTGGTGATGTGCACATTAACGGTTTGCGTATCTTTAAAGTTTAAAAGTGTGTTTTTTCTATCCACTAGTATGTAGATTGTTTGAGTGTCGTCACTTTATTTTCTAGATAGCGAAAATGAATAAATAATATTTTGTTAATTTAAGCGTACTCTGTTCTTCCAGCAAAAATTTTATTTTCACTTTTACGGGCGCCTAGAAGGTAATGTGCAGATTATCTAAGATTCTCGCAATTTGTAAAATGTTTGGCACTTCTACTGAACAATCTAGCCAATTTGCGCATTCATAAGATCAGCGATTCATTTTATTTTTCTGGCTTTGGACCCTAAAATGATCCACTTTCATGTATCGGAATCTTAAAAACTTATTGAATACATTTTATTAGCAATTGTGAATAGATTAATTAACAGAAGATTGTTAATTATTTCAAAAATAAGCAATGATCTAAATTTTATTAATTATTTTGAAAATATTTTGTGAATGAACGATGAATGAATTTTTTTTTAAAAATCTTATCGTTGTGTTTATGTCAGACAGCTGAATTCAGAGATCTGGAGCGACACATCTAGTCTAGTTCTTAATTTGATTTTGATGCAGGCATAAACTGAAAATGAATGAACTGCGATAGGGTCTCCATTAGAATAAAAACGAAAAAGGAGGAAAATAAACATTGAGAATGGTTATAAGAGAAACATACTTCTTCACGGTTGAATTTTATTCGAGGCGGAAACATTCAGTAAGTAATAGATTATTAATTGGATAGAAATTGAATGACCCGTTTCGAAAATCATAACTGGTTCAATAAAAAGATACTAACCCTCGGAACCCCTTTCCACGGATCCCTAGAGTTCCGCGGTACACCATTTCGGAACCGCTGACCTAGATAGTTTATAGAACAATTGTGAATTTTACACTTTATCTCTGTAGCAGTTATACCACTCTTTAATAGCGATAAAATGTTTTTTTTTTCTTCTCTTTTTCCACATTGTTACGCACCCTATGAAACTAATTTGCAGTATGTTCCGAAAAACAATACACTGTTTAATAATAAAAAAAATAATTTCTTTAAAAAACTACTGAACAAAACTACTCTCCTCTAAATATTCAATTTTACTAACTTTCGTTCATTCCAAATCAAGAAGTACTTTGTACTTCAGACATTACACAATAGTGATCTTCCACAAAAAGCGTTTTTTTTTTTTTCTTCCCCTACATGACATGGGGAGCCCTATCATCGCTTTCCCATTTCTTTAAAGAACCTCATTACGCTTTTCATTGCCCCCCCATTCTTGGAATCATTTGAGATGACGATCCAAATTCTAATATTCTTTTTTCTTCGGTTTAGTTTTCATTGTTTTTGTTTAGATACTGTGCAGAGAATCGTCCCGATTCGAAAAGACTGGAGACATCGTCATTTTGCGAGGGACTTTTTCCCCGCCATTTGATTTATTTCGTTATTATTCCCGTTTTTAGTTGTTTAAAAGGTATTTTCCTATTGAAGCAGTTCGTGCTTAAAAATGCGTGACAATAGTTTTTACCTTTGTATTTCTGGACTTTTATTTAAATAAATTCGAAGAAGAAGAAAAAAAAGTGGTAGAGAAAATAAAGGGAATTTTTTTTATTTTTTTTTTTTTTTATTTAAATTATTTTTCTTTTACAATTTTGAAAGTCGTATAATAATAAATGGATTTACTTAGAATTCTTATTTCCCTCTATTTAAATAATATTTTAAAATTCTGTATAATATTCATTCTTATGACTGCATTGGCATCGCTGTATCAGTAAATTTTCGCTGGGCTCTCCTCTCACAATCGAAGCTCACAAACACTTTTATATGAAACAAAATGAAAATACGCGGCATTTCTAGAGAAATGTTTAAAGAACAGTTTAATATCAAAATAGCATTTTTGAGTTATTTTAAGATTTCTTTTTTCCATCGCGTTATTCAGTTTAACAAAAGCCTTTAGGAGGGGAATTTTGAATTTATTTATTTAATTTATTCATTTATTTATTGATTGATTGATTGATCTGCTTAGTTATTTATTTATCTATTTATTATTATTATTATTATTTTGCAGTTCCATATTCTTGTGTCAGAAAAGTATGCAACGCGTCTCACTTTGCTTAAATTTCAAATTACTTTCGAATAATTAATATTATCAGTTTTTTGAGTTTTAGGTTATAAAGAAAAAAATGAATCACAGTAAAATTATAATTCTTTACAAGCACGTACTCAAAGGATTGGAGATTAAAGAAACAATAAAAATATAAATAAAATTTTTAAAAAAAATTTCGACTGTTTTTTAATTTTATTCCAAAAAGATTAAGTGCTAAATCTGTGTCCATAAAATAGTAAAATGTTGGAGTCATTTAATGGAATGTTTCATTTTGATAAAACAATCTGTTTTTTCGTCAGAAAATAAAAATAGTTGGCGAACGAGGAAATGGCGAAGAAAGCGAACGGAAGACGGAACCTCTTAGTTAAATTATAATTTTGTTGAATAAACAAAACAAAACAACAACAAAAATAGAATTTACAATTGGAAAAATTATGGATTATTTGAAGATCTTGGAGTAATATAAAAATCAGCCGTGTTTACAAATTATTCAGGAGAGCGTTTTTGATTAAAGGTACCTTTTAATTTTGAACCCAATCCACAAAAGAAGGGTACTCCAGAATCAAGTATTGAGAGAAATTTTGCCTTGGCGGAGGACTTTTCGATGGAACTGACCATCCTTTGCGTTACATGGAGAGAAAAACCACGAAAACTTATCAAGGTTAGTCTGACGGTAAGGGGATTCTAACCGTCTAACACTGAGGATATTTTACGTCAACACTGTGGTTGGTGCGAGCCAGGTGCGAAATTCGTATCAACCGGATTCGAATCCGGTTCACCTCATTGGGCGGCTTTCCTCATTTTCTTAAATAAAAATAATAACTTGATTCTTGAGTGTTTTTAGTTCAGGTGACAAATTTTGAAAGAAATAAAAACTTGCCTTAGGTTAACAGCAAAATCTCCTGAAAAAGAAAAAAAATATCGAGTTTTTGAAAGCACCAGAATTGTAAATTAACGTGCGGGTCTTTAGCGGGTTCTGGAGGGATTTGCTTTTCTAGTGTGATCTCCCTAATTTTTAACACCGTTTATGAAATATATACTTTTTTCTCATTGAAATATATTTTCAGTTCATCTCAAAACATTTGGTCCAGAATCTTGTTTTTTTTTTTTTTTAAAAAAAACTTAACAATGGCATAAATAAATAATGCATAATGGTGTGCCACATTCTCTTCGAAGATATAAATTATTCATTATTGATAATGTCACCAACCACCTGAATTTGAAAATGTGGCTAATTGGGTGGCTGAATCCACTCCATTTTATTTAAAACACCTCATTTTTAAATAGTTAACAACCGTACATTTTATCTCAAAACTTTTTGTTGAGTTAAAAAATAATTTCTAGTCTTTTGTTGAAGCTCTTTTGATTAATGACACTTAAGTAGTTTTGAAGAGTTTGCACTTTTTTTTTTATTCCTTTAGGGAAGAACAAAGGGAACATTTCCTTCTTCAGGGAATAGGTTGATATCCTTTTTTTTTTTTTCGTAATTTTGCACCTCATTTCCTTTTCCTGGTCACATAAACTCTCACGTCATCTCTTAAATTCTCAAGTTCTTGTTTTTTTTTCTTTTTTAATTGCATGTTTTTGTCAAGTTTTAAAAGTTGAGAAAAAATTTTGTCTATGAAATTTCAGTACCTGCCAAATGTTAAAGAAAGGTGATACGAACCGTAATGAAGCTTAAATAACCGTATTGAATGCTAAATATGCAAAAGAACCGTAGCGAAGTCTAAATATGTAAATCGATCATAATGAAGCATATCGTAGACAGAGCCTGATTAAGGCTGGGGCATACGGGGCAGTTGTCCCGGGCCCCACATCAGAGGGGGACCCCAAATTGAATAGAGAGTTTATTTTACGTTTAATGAACTTTTTTTTTTTAAACAAAATATCAGTGCAGAGTAAAATCCGTTTTATGTTAGCTTCTTCATTAATGTATCGTATGAACACAAAAAATCTATATTTCCATGGCTTTCTAGGGTGAAATTCTGCTAAATTTTCACAATTACGATGGAAAAATATGGCCAAACAAAAGCCTGTATTTTTACATATCGCAAAATGCGATATGTTTACAAAAATATGGGCTTATGATTGGCTTAATTGAGCCATCGTAATTGCGAAAATGTAGCAGAATTCTGCCCTAATGTCAGCAAGGATATGAATTTTTCGCAGCTAGATGATAAAGTTAACAATCAATTATCCCATTTTGACTGTTTTGTATTTCTTTAATCCAGTTAATTTAAAGAAGATAATAAATTTTGGCTCTCCAGAAGTGCTATATTCTCTTAATGATGGACATAGAATTGTTAGAAAACCAATTAAATGAACAGAACGATATTTCGTCTGACCATAGATGGGGTGGGGAACTTTATAGCTATTTTAGGTTCTAGCCAATTTTCTTGTATCTATAATGAGGTGAAAAATTTAAATACCTCCATAAAGTTCGGTTCCTCATTACTGAAGTAGTGCAGCAGAGGGGGGCCCCAAGGAAGTCTTTGCCCCGGGCCCCAATAGGACTAAGTCGGGCCATGACAATAATGAATATGTAAACGGACCGAAATGAAGCCTAAATACATAGGCTGACCATAGTAAAGACTAAATATGTAAGCGGGTCGAAATTAAATCTAAATACGTAAAACGGATCGTCATGAAACCTAAATATATATATATATATAACGTCGTTGCCGAGTGGAAGGATTAAAACAGGTCATAGGTCGGGAAGGAGGGTACAAAATTTATTTATTAATTATTAGACAAGAGCAGTCATGAGAATGAGTAAAAGTGCACATGAAAAGTTGCGCTCCTTGGTTATATGTTAGGGAAAATCTTGCAAAGTAAAATCCGTAAAATGTCTTAATTTAGGGAAAGAGGGAAATCTTAGTAGTTGCTATTGGTTTATGA